ACATTTTTGTACATAAGAGTTATATCAAAATGATGCTTTTGTTGGGCTGGCTGAGGAATAACTTGGTGTCCACCTATCAAGCAGTTTCAGTGAGAAAGGAATTCAGTGACTGGACATGTCAGTTTCTACCGCCTTGTAAATAACGCCTCTGTGACGTGGCTCTGCAGTTTGTTCTTCGCTGGTGAGCAAGTTTGGTCAGTCTATGTCTTTCCTTTTAGAATTAATCTCTTAAAAGTTTCCAAAAGCATCTCACTGCATAGCCTCCTAGCTCCTAATTCAAAGCAAGGCATTATACACAGCCTTGCTTTCCCCCTTTCTGCCCAGTGTAATGATCCCAATTAAAGCGACGTCAGTAGTACTGTCCCACAAAGGAACTGACCTATAAAACTGGACGCAGTTGGAGGCTGACTGCTCAGCCCGGTGAGGTCTGCAGTTGTGACAGCGCCCTCTAGCGCCCATGGCCCATCATGGTGGGGAGGGTCATTTTTCCAGATGAGCATGGGCCAAACGCGTTCACTAGGGCCCCGGGCACCGGCTGCGGATCCTCCTTGTTCTTCGCCGTCTGCCGCCCAGAGCACTCTCAGGAAAGCGTTACAATGCAGAACCTATATGCACTTTCTCCAGGCATGTTTGCATTTCAGCCTTAATTCTAATCGCAAGTGAAAGGCTTGGTCCCCCGTGAAGGCATGTTTTGGCTCGTAGATAAAGCTGCTAGTGCCATAGCCACCAGCTGTCTGTGAGATGTTGAGGGTGGGTTAAATCCTTGGCGGACTCCACGTGTGAATGCTGCAAACACTATTACAAGGACCATGGATGACGCCAGGCTTTGTCACTTTTGGCACTATTGACACTTGGGGCAGGTAATTCTCTGGTGGGGACTGTCCTGTGCATCATAGAATGTTTAGCAGCAGCCCTGGTCTCCACCCACTAGATGCCAGTCTTGACCCCCAAGTTAGTTTGTGATAACTAAGTGTCCACAGACATTGCCAAACATCCCCTGGGGGACACTGCTGGTTGAGAACCACTGGGTTACGCTAGTGGTTTGTCATGTGTCTATATGCAGAGTGATGAGAGGGGCGTCCACTTCACTGTTGCGTGGGAACCTGTGTCCCAGGGCCATGGGCCTTCGTTTTAATATCAAGACCAGGCTTCTCCGTAGGCGTGCAGTGTTCTGCCAGCCGGGCAGGAGGGAAATGGGGCGAGCCACGCACACAAACCAACCTGTATTCACTGGAGGTGCCCCCAGCCTCTCCCCACCACACCCATTCTTAGAAACAAGGTTCCATCTTCCTTGGCCACTTTTGAGTGAAAGCAGCAGAAACTTCTTTATGGGCCTGTGGCCTTTCACTGGTTAAGATCTAATCAGATGTCGTTAGTAGATATTCAAGGCCTTTGCTGACCCTGGGGAATCTCAGGACTCCTGCAAGTGAACTAAGCCAGTAGCGATTTTCCTGGATCACATTCTTTGGCAGTTCCTCCTTGAAGAGAAAGGGGTCCTGGCTGCTTTAATGTTAAGTGGGCAGTAAAATAAATAAGAGTAGGCTTGGCAGGATATGTTGATTAGACTCCACATTCAGCCCTCAGAAACTTACCCTTAACCTGCTTTGATACTGGTTTGGGTACAGGTGGGGACCCTCAAATCTTTCTGTGCCTCAGTATCCCCGCTTGAAAATGGACCTAGTCATACGAACCTACCTCCTCTGCTGTATTATGAGGATTATAGAATAACACTTTTTAAAGAAAAAACAGTGTAGTCTTTCATCTATGGAGTCTAGGCTAATAGTTCCCATTCAATGAATCAAGCCTGTGTGGTGACTTTCCAGAGTGTTCTCGGAACACAGTGTCTTCCATCCAAGCCTCTTATGACCGTATTGATTACACAGCTGCCTGGCCTTGAGGGGGCACAGCTGGCTTCCTGGGACCATAGAACGCTGCACCCAAATGTCCCCATTCCCACGAGGCCTGTTCAAATGCTCCTCTTTGCACCAAGCGCTGTACACAGGCCACGTGGCAGCGTTCCCATGATCAGTCCCAAAGGCATCTGCGTGCAGAAGGCCCCTTAAAATGTGGAAAGGGATGGACCCCCCCCTTTCTGACTCCGTGGTTACCTTAAGTTCCAGAATCTAAGGGGTGCCCCACCCATAGCATCTCCTTTGTTTCCAACAATCTCGGCAGAGGGANTCCAGATTTCAGAGATTCTTCTGGGAAGACACCAAGCTGAAGTGGGTGGGCCTTTTCAAAGTCTCCCCGTGCCTGCCGTGGGCCTCCTACTCGGACTCAGTCCTCACTTGGCTAAAGTTGCAAAGGGTACCGTTAGCTCTTTCCCTTGGCAGATAAAGGAGCCTTCCCTACACACGTTTCCCACGGGGACCTGCTCATCAAAACCCCAACCCCAACCTTGGTGTCCAGGTCCCAGATATTGTCAGGAAAGAAAGGGCTGAATAACCTGGTCCCTCTAGGGTAAAGAACCTCACCTGCATGGCCCCTGACCAGGTAAGTGCATTTTGAGAGAAGGCTCATCAGCCCAGAACAGCTGCTTGCACCACCCAGGGACTGCGTTTTTCAGGTGAGGGTGTTCCTAGCACCCTTTAACTCATTCTCCTGAGCCATCACCTACCTCCCAGGCCGTGTGGTAAGGGGCTTCCTGGGGCTTCTCCCCACAGGACGGAAGGCGGTGTGTGCAAGGGGGCCACCGTCGGTGTGCTGCTGGACTTGAATAAACACACTCTCACCTTCTTCATCAACGGGCAGCAGCAGGGCCCCACGGCCTTCAGCCACGTGGATGGCGTCTTCATGCCCGCCCTCAGCCTCAACCGCAACGTGCAGGTACGGGGCGCCCCCTGCAGGCCGCAGCCGATCTGGCGCCTTCCCCGTGATCCCGAGGCCCACCTAGGGCATTCCCTGAAGGCTGTCCTCTCAGGCATGATAAATTCTTACTTGTTCTCTTGAAATAAGCAGAGGCTCTTAGGCGGTAACTTGTGGAGAAGCAGTAGAATGGGGAGAAGATGGCAGGGAAAGACGTAATGTGGGAAAGCTGCAGTGAAGGCGTTAAGCAATCCGGAGCAAGGTCAGTGCCCCTGCCCAGCTTGGACCCTGATGGCCAGGTGCATGCTGGGGCCTTCGGGTGGGGGTGCTAGCCCTCATGGAGCTGTCATGTGGCTTTCCCCTGAGAGGAGAAGAGAGTTGGGAAGAGACCAGTCTCACCCCCACAGGAAGCAGGCAGGAAACGTCCTTTTAGAGCTTGGGGCTGGCCTGGTCCTAGGGGAGTGCGGTTTTAGGGGAGTGCTGACAGCTCAGTAGTTCCCAAAACGCACAGAGACAAAATGGGAACCCAGTGAAGGTGTGAGGAAGGGAGACCAATGTGGACGCACCTTCCTTTGTGTGCAGCAGAGTCCTCCTCCCCCCAGGAGTAGCAGGGAATGGGACAGAGTGCTGCTCTGTGGTGCCCATGGCTCTGAATATTGGTAGGTTACCTCAGTCAATTAGTGATTGATTTGTACCTCCACTCATTTGCAAAAGGGTTTTGAGGCAGCCTGAAACGCAGGCTATTATTGCACAGGGTTAATAGAAGTGATGTAGGAAAGGAGAGAGGGCCTGGGAAGAAGCAAATATACCACCAGGGGGGACCGACGGTGGGACCCCAGGCTGGGAGGGGAGGCGGGGGAGCGTCCTGATTCTGAGGAGAGGCGCAGACCAGCCGCAGGGGCAAACTCTAGACCTTAGGTTAATGATTTGAGCTGCATCATAAACAGCAGTCCCCACAACACAGAGAAGCTGCTGCCATGGTGACCCCCAGCAAGCAGCAGATCACATGTGGCCACCGTGCTATCTGGGTGCTCAGGGCACAGTGGTGGCCTCTCCATCCTCACTCATCTTGTCTTTTTTTCCAGGTCACCCTGCACACTGGACTGGAAGTGCCCACAAATCTGGGGCAGCCAAAGCTGTCAGTCAACTAGTCCCCAGCTCAGCTCTACACGGGCGTCTGGGACAAGCCCACCACCCCTCACTATGTTCAGTAAGCACGAGGGCAGGACGACCATGTCACGGTGCGACCCAGGAGCCACTGAGTATCTTAGAGACATGTTTTCTTTAGGGGACGGACAATGGGTCTGCCAGCCAGGCCTGCTGAGGCCACTGTCGGCAGTGCGCATGGGCGTGTGTTCTCCCTTTCGTCCCACCTGGACGGTTCACATACTCGCCAAGAAGGACCTTGCTCTTGTGAGTGAGAAAGCATCGGCGTTTACGGTTTCGTTTCCTGCCATCTGTTTTCAAAGCTTGTCTTTTGTCTTTTGGGGAGGAGGGTGAGAGGAGAACAGACTTGGTGCCTGGCATACTGAGAGCAGGAGGCAGGAGACTCTTGGAACCCAATGTCCCAAGTGTACACCCTTCACTGGTGTCACTCCTTCAGGCCCAAGCTTGCAGGTTCCCGCCTTTGTCAGGGAAAGTTCTCCTTTAGCTCTTTGGTCCTGGAGGCTTCAGTATGTTCTGCCACTTGCAGACCTGACCCAGGATCCACAGAAAGGGACGCTAATCATTCATCTTTGCCTCTCGTTGAACTGTTGAGAACCTTTAAAAATGGTTTCTTTAGGTCCTTCATCTCTCTCTCTCTCTCTCTCTCTCTCTCTCAATAGTCTGCTAATATTAATTCACTCAGTTCTTAGTTCTTAAACGCAAAAGAAAACATTGGAATTGGAATTGGAATGACTATGTGACAAGTCTTCACCTGCTGGTGGCTTTTTTTCTGGAACTGGCCCCCCAAAAGGTCACCTGCAAACCTGTCTGAGTTGCTCTTCTGAGCTGTGCCATGCCTAGACTCAGAACATACAAGATGGGGGGCCCTGGGAGCCTCTTAGGGACATGGCACCTTTGTTTTGAGACCCATCCTACTGTCATCACAAGAGCACCATGAAAGCAAGAAGTAACCCCAAAGGTGGCAGGACCTGTGAAGAGGCAGGAAATAGATAGCAATATTATGTTCATTGTCTCCCAGTTTCCCAGCACAAGCATGGGGTGAGCCCTCACCTCCTTGCTGGGAACACTAACCTTCTTCCCTGAGATCCACGTTGAGTCATGTCCATCTCTCGGAAAGACAGCTCGTCCTCAGCTCTGAGCCTGGAGCCTGCTGTGGTCCTGTCCCAGAGCACCTTTCTCCTCCTCCACCTCCTTCTTCCTTGTCACATGCCACCTCCATCTCCCTCTAGTAGCAAACCTTTCTCTCTCCTTTTTACAAGAATATATTTTATCAAGCATTTTATTTGTGAGGTTGAGGAATACCTTGTCTATTTGCTGGATTGGATTTTTATAAAACCTAGCCCGTAAACCGGCACCAACTGTGTTTACTTGCTTCTAGCTGCTTGTTTAGACACTGCGCTTGCTTTCTGAGTGCCCCACCGGTGCTGTGGAGGTCTGACCCTCTATTCAGCAGATCCGACAATCCTACCTCGAAGCCTGGGCCTCAAGGCTGCTTGTCCAGCTGTGTCCACAGGAGTGGCCGGCTGGACCAGCTGCCCGGTGGCTTCAGGAGCTGTCTGGTGCTGTGTTTAAGCCTTGACTGCTGAGGTCCTGGCACCCAGGGCTGCCCTGGGCTGCCACGTGTCCTCGTCTGTGCAGCTGCCTCTCTCTTCTCTGCCCCCACGTCCCTTAGTTTCACTCCCTAGCCAAAGCTCTGAGTGGACTCTGGAGGGTGGGGAAGATTCCTGAAGATCAGAGGACACAGCGGAACTATGGCTTCCTGGAGCCGCGGAAATCACGGCTGACAAGTCCAGGTTCATCGGCTTTGGGAAAAGACGAAGCCACCACACAGGCAGTAAAATAGCTGCTGGGAAGGAGGGCTAGAAAGGGCTGCCTGGCAGAAGTGACTTTTCACATGGGATCTGGATGAAAGTTGGGGAGCTCCCAGAATCCTCAAAGCCACAGCGTCACCGGGCAGGCCTGGCTCGTCACCACTGAACAGGAGCTGCTTGGTGTCACCCTCAGGAGAACCAGCATCTAGGTCAGATGAGAAGCAGAAAAGGGAGAAGGGAAGTTCCCACAATTTCAGGTGGCCTCTTTAGGGAGAAAATTACCTAGAGTTCAGAGAGAAGCCACCAAAACTCCCTGTCGCCCCCTCCTTCCATCAAGCGGTCAGCAGCCCCAGGAGGTCCTATGGGTGCCGGAGTGGGCACGGTTCTACCTTTTCCAAAGCCTCCAGGAGCCCAGAAGCAATACGGCTGATACCAGGGACAATGTTAGGCTGTCCTACAGCCCCCTCTCCTGTCTTCAGCACAAAACACTTTTCAGGGACAAGAATGGACCTAAGAGAGAAGGCAGGTCCATGCTACACACTTGTGTTTTAAAGGACCAGTGACATGGAGCAGGAATGCATCGGCTCCTTGTGGCCTTATGTCACCCTCCCAGGAGGCCCTGGGAATTGGAGGAGAAGCCACGGGCCGTGGTGTCTCATCTACCATTGAATTTCCTGTTCCTTTACAATGTGGTCACATTTTTGTACATAAGAGTTATATCAAAATGATGCTTTTGTTGGGCTGGCTGAGGAATAACTTGGTGTCCACCTATCAAGCAGTTTCAGTGAGAAAGGAATTCAGTGACTGGACATGTCAGTTTCTACCGCCTTGTAAATAACGCCTCTGTGACGTGGCTCTGCAGTTTGTTCTTCGCTGGTGAGCAAGTTTGGTCAGTCTATGTCTTTCCTTTTAGAATTAATCTCTTAAAAGTTTCCAAAAGCATCTCACTGCATAGCCTCCTAGCTCCTAATTCAAAGCAAGGCATTATACACAGCCTTGCTTTCCCCCTTTCTGCCCAGTGTAATGATCCCAATTAAAGCGACGTCAGTAGTACTGTCCCACAAAGGAACTGACCTATAAAACTGGACGCAGTTGGAGGCTGACTGCTCAGCCCGGTGAGGTCTGCAGTTGTGACAGCGCCCTCTAGCGCCCATGGCCCATCATGGTGGGGAGGGTCATTTTTCCAGATGAGCATGGGCCAAACGCGTTCACTAGGGCCCCGGGCACCGGCTGCGGATCCTCCTTGTTCTTCGCCGTCTGCCGCCCAGAGCACTCTCAGGAAAGCGTTACAATGCAGAACCTATATGCACTTTCTCCAGGCATGTTTGCATTTCAGCCTTAATTCTAATCGCNGCTTTGTGAGGCCTCCTACGTGTTACCATGACCTCACCACACCGTGCCCCTTGTACAATTTGGACAGTTGATGCAAAGCGCTCTCTGCACAAATTAGTGACAGGACTAGGATGACACGCAGAGCTCTGCAGCACTTCGGGACGTTCGCTGAAACAAGCTACAACCCACAAAAGCAGTAATTTCAACTAAAAAGTCCTCTCCAAACATACCTACTCAAACTTAGACACTATTTATCATAGTTTTAAGTACAGATCTGTTTTTTCTTTAAGAATATATTGTAGAAAGAAGAGAAAGTACCCATTCTTAGCACTTGAATGTTTCCTCATGCCTTTTAAAAACCTAGTTACAATCACAGAATACACACACCCCTGCTTTTCCTACTTACCATTGTATCATTGGGGTTGTAGTCGTGAAACCATCGTGTTTTAAATGGTTCATGATAGTCAATCAAGTGATTGTAGTGTGATGTGCTTAGCCACATCCCAAACCATTGGACATGGGAACATATTCATCTTTTTTGATATCACCAAGTTGAAAAAATTAACAATTTCAAAACACATACCTTTTCTAAGTTAAATTCTTGTATATCCACATCTTTCTCAAGGATACTAGTTTTGGTCTGCAAAGAAAAACAATTCTTACTAAGATCACTTGTTACTATATCATTATAGTATCTGTCATCAACAGAGAGGCCATGTTTTCAAAAGCCTTGAAACTGGCCCCAATGCCTACATGCCGAACAATAATACAAGCGTGTTGCCCAAAATCCTAGTTAAGAGCTAATGGAAGACAAATGGAGAAAACAATTTTAAGGTCTCAAGGCTTACGAAAGGGCTGATGAGAAACTAAGAAAAAAGACGATGATGAGAGACC